GAGGAGGAGGAGGAGGAGGGTCTGAAAAAAGGGAAATCGACATGATCACAGACGGACCTGAGGGTCGAGCGTAACGAGTCTGTGACCGTGGTGCGTGTAGGAAGAATGAGGCCTGTGGGAGCTTCTCCGCGTTCCTTGGCTCGCGGGCGGGCACGTCGCCGCCCCCGCTGTGTCCCCCTTCACAGCCCCTTCTCCTCCACCTGTCTCCTCTCCCCCTCCTTTGCCTGCATTAGACCCTAGGCCCACCCCGACCCGGGGTGAGCTCATCTCAAGATCCTTGACCTACATCGGCAAAGACCCTTTTTCCAAATGAGATCGTATTTATAGGTTCTGGGTGGACAAGCTCTGCACAGCCCTAGAGTGGGATGTCGGGGTGAGCTGTTACAGATTGAGGGCGATTCCAATGACAAGACCCCAGGCGGGGCGGGGCTAAGAGCTGCTGAGAGAGAAGAGGAAGTGGAGATACTTGGCCCCAGAACCGGAAGGCCCCTTGCTGAGCCGGGATGACGGCGGCTCCTGGGAACTAGGGGGTCCGCCTTCCTGACTGCTTCGGGGGGCGGCACACGTCGCCGGGCGTGAGCGCAGTCTGCTGGTGTTTCTCAGCTCTGCCTTCCGTCTGAGCAACCTGACAAGCTTGCAGAAGCTACTCACCCCAAGATTCTTCACCAGTTGGCCCGGGATGCAGTCCAGACATCTGTATTTTTAAAAAATTCCTCAGGTGGTCTAACGGGCATCCAGGATTAAGAAAAGCGGCTTTTAGATAAAACACGACCTTCAGAGAGACGTGGTGACGGGGTCAGGGGTGTGCTCCTTCAGACTTATTTCAAGGACGCGATTCAGATGTCACAGGAGAAGACACAGAACTCATTTCTAGAACATTTACTATGCCTACAAAACGAGCCTCTCTCCCCCCGCCACACACACAAAAGATGTTCTCAATACACTTGGAGAAGTATCTTTCTCCAGACCAGTATTCAGTGGCTTCCTCTGCTGAATAAGCGATAAACGCATTCACGGTTCCAAGCGGTGTAAGGGGCTACGCAATAAGGGCTTCTCTTTTGCCCTTGACTTCCCGCTCTGCTCCCCCGTCCCCTCCCCCCACCGCCCCCCTCAGGGCCTCGGTAACCTCCCCAGGGTAAACGTGCTGCATCTGGCCTTCTCCATTTACCCTTCGTCTCGGCAACCGTGCCGTTTGTCCACGTGTGTCTCCCCGACACCACTAACCGGCCAGCACATCACGTGGTTCGCCCTTGCCAAGGGACATTCAGGTCATTTCCTGTCCCGAAGCAAACCTGGTAAAGACCAGAAATAAAACCAGCAGGAGTGGAAGTGGGTTCCCCCCGAGGTGGCGGCCGATGGCCCTCGAGCGTCACCAGGACAGGAGGGGCCGCAACTCGGGAGCTGGGCGAGGGGGGCCGGGCGCCCCGCCTGACCATGTGCTGCTTCTGCCCGCAGGAGCCTGATGCCGCGGACAGTGGGCAGCCAGATCACGCTGGAGAAGACGCCCAGCTACTTCGTCACCCAGGAGGCCCCGCGGCGAATCTTCAACATGTCTCGCGACACCAAGCTGATCGTGGTGGTGCGGAACCCCGTGACCCGCGCCATCTCCGACTACACGCAGACGCTGTCCAAGAAGCCGGACATCCCCACCTTCGAGGGCCTGTCCTTCCGGAACCGCACGCTGGGCCTGGTGGACGTGTCCTGGAACGCCATCCGCATCGGGCTGTACGCGCTGCACCTGGAGAGCTGGCTGCGCTACTTCCCGCTGGCCCAGATCCACTTCGTGAGCGGCGAGCGGCTCATCACCGACCCCGCCGGCGAGATGGGCCGCGTGCAGGACTTCCTGGGCGTGAAGCGGCTCATCACCGACAAGCACTTCTACTTCAACAAGACCAAAGGCTTCCCCTGCTTGAAAAAGACCGAGTCCAGCCTTCTGCCTCGGTGCCTGGGCAAGTCCAAAGGCAGAACTCACGTGCAGATCGACCCCGAGGTCATAGACCAGCTCCGGGAGTTTTACAGACCTTACAACATTAAGTTTTACGAAGCCGTGGGGCAGGACTTCCGGTGGGAATGAGCCGCCCGCTCTGCTGGTCTCTCCCCGGGGGGTTTGTTCCTGGAGCCTCTGCCTCCCGCCCCCCAGCAAACCCAGGCTCCAGCCCCTTCCCCATCTTGGGTTCCAGCGTCCTGGGGCCAGGAAGCCCAGCCAGGGCCAAGAGACCGGGGGTCCCTGCCACCAGCTGTCCCCGCTCTGTCCGGTCAGTTCCGATTCGTTGCCCTTCGGCCCATGAGAGGCCTTGGGAAGCCGCTTTCCGAAGCGTGGACCTGCCAGTGGACGATGGATGTTACAAGTGGCCACGGCTGGCTTTGTCGCTGTGAGCACAGCCGCCCGTCCCCGTCCCCGCCCGACCCAGAGCGGGCTTGTTAATTCTGAGCGGCATGTACCCCTTCCGATCTTAACCTCCTGAGCGGCCCTGGGTGGGGGGTGGACACCGCCCTCGTCCCCGTCCTCCTGGTCCTCCTGGCCAGCGGGAGATGCACGGCCAGAAGCGCCCCCGCCACCCGTGCCAGACCCTTCGGCGGTGGAATGACCCGAGCTTTCAGAGGCTCTGGGCTCCACTCTGCCCGAAGGGTGACTGTCTTTGAAACCCACTCAGTGACGCCCCCCGCCCCCCACGGACAAAAGCACACACTTCTGCTGTTACGGGTACTTGCCTCACGCGAGCCTTCATGTTCAGCATGCCGCCGAATCATGCCTGTCCATGCGAAATAAATATGGCTCCCTCGTGTCCTTAGCCCGCGGCTTTTCTCTGTAAGTCAGGCCTGGTCCTTGGGTCACTCACTCAGCTTCTCTGGGGACGGCCTGGGAGGGGTGCAGACACAGCAGGGTGAGGGGCGAGGGGGTGGAGATGGGAAGGAAGTTCCTACTGGCAGAGACGGGCCACACCTGTGGGGACAAAACTATGTCTGACTGTGTCAGCCCTCTGCCCGAGCTTTCCGCCTCAAGTGCCAGACGGAGGCCCAGGGCTGAGAGGACATATGATAGGTTTTCCTTTGACCAGCATGATGGTTTGAAATAATTTCCAAATTTAAAATTTGGGAGAGTTTTATAAAAATATAAATATATGGATTTCCAGAATTAAAAAAAAAAAAAAAGAAAAAGGCCTGCATCGCCGAGCCAGCCCTCCAGCTTGGCGACAGGTGGCTGCCGCCTTTGGATGGACCTGCACCCCCGGGTCCCCGCCCCACCTGGCCCCTCACTGACTGACATCGCGCCCCCGGCCCCTGTAGGCTCAGTGGTCACAGCCTGGCTTTGGGGGTGTGCCGTGACCTCAGCAACCTGAGAATACAGTGCAAACAGTGCCAGGACCACCCCAAAGGACAGTTCCTGGAGGTCCTCCCGCATCCCCTCCCTCCCCCTCTGCTCCCGCTCACCATGAGCCTTTTCCCGGCTCGTCACGCTTTTCCTGGAGTGCTCCCTCTGCCCCACGTCTCCGTGTCCCCGAGACTCCACGCGAGTGTCCCTCGCTGGATGCTGGCGAAGCCGTCCCCAGCCACGTCGAGGTACCTGCTCGCTCTCCCGCGATCGCTTGGCAGCGTGCACGCACCTGTCACAGCTTGTGTCCCGCTGGGTTGTCGTTATTCGTGTAAATGCCTGTCCTGACCATGAACTCCTTGGGGGTCAGAGTGTGTCCCGCTAACATGTAGGTGGTGCTCAGCAGACATTCGACGGATGAATTGTGAGCGGGTGGGTGGATGTGGGAGGCCTGGGGGCCTGGACGGGAATGTCCCAATGAACTGCAAGCTGGGACACATCCCCAGGAGCTCCATGGGACCCATGGGTGGCTGGGAAAGATTGCCAAACCTCCAGGGGCCCTGTGCTTTGTCACTCCGCCAGGCGCCATGGCAGTTTCCCAGAAACCAGGGTCCGACTCGGAAGACACCGAAGGTGTGTCATGGCCCACTGTCCTGCCCCAAGCATTTTACAGGCGGCCAAACGAATGAGATCATGGTGCCCAGAAGCCAGTTCCGGGAGTTTGCAGCCTCCGCAGGCACGGAGAAGGGCCACAGAGGCCAGTGGGTGCCACTCCCGCCCGGAAGCCGGGGCCCTGCCTCTCTGGTGACCAGCAAGATGAGGTGCGCGTGGACGCTGATGGGTTGCCCGTGTATATTCCTCGTCCAAAAGAATCTGGTGTCCTGCGAGCCTGGCACCTGATGGCCAAGGCCGCATCCAGAGGGAGACGCAGTTACACTGGGCACACGGAAAATGCCCAGGAAGGAGCCTGTGGGATTTGCCTGTTTGTCCCGATTGCCCAGAATCCAGCCGGCTCTGGTGGAAATTCTGAATTTTGTGCACACAAAGGCAGCTTTATTCCTCGGCTTGACGAACATTCTCAGCTGCGGGGACTCCCTGGGCTTGGGAGTCTGTGGTAATTAGCATATAGATCACTGTATGCAAATGAACGGGGCTTCCAGCTTAACAACTCACTTTAAATGAGTGATGCTGGTGAACAGAACCCTGATTTTCAATCCGGGGCAAATGCACCCCTCGCCCAGGCCTCCCCAGGGCAGACGCTTGCAAGTTCCAAAGAGCAGAGCTTAGGTGTTTTTTAAATACTTTATTTTCCATTACAGTTGACATGCGAGATAGTAGTTTCAGGTGTGCCCATCAGCGCAGTTGAAACCAATGAAGTGTGAGCACTCGCGTGTGCATGCGTGCGGCTGCGAGTGTGTGTCTCTCCCCCAATACCGGTGCAGGCTGTATGGCGACTCCCTCCCCTGTACGTGGCCTGAGACCCCTCCATCCTCGCACTGACCGCTCACATGGCTCTGCCCATGCGTGCACGCCACTCAGCAGGCAGCGGGTGCAGACGCGGGCAAGGACCAGGCGCTGCAGAGCCTGCTGCCAGAAGTCACTGCAGTGAGGACCCATGTGGGGAGGGGCCGGGGTGCCCCGTGGCAGAGGGACCAGGTGCCCCACGGGTGAGGGACCAGGGTGACGCACGGAGGAGGAGTCGGGTGCCCCAAGGGAGGCAGTCGGCAGGGGGAGCTGGGGGCAGGCGGGCTCCCTAGGAACAGCTGTCCCCTGTGATTGGTTTGTGGGCATATTTGACCTTCTCTGCTTGGTCCTGAGTCGGAAGCAGGGACATAGAAACAGGAAAGCTGGCAGCACTGACCACGTCCTGCACAGGGAACGGGTGACTTCTGTCACGTTCGGTCTGGCCCCTGTCCATTCAAACATTCTGACCCGGGAGCGAGAAGGAGCAGGACGAGTCTCCTCCTCCGAGCTTGCCGCATCCTTTCTAGTCACGCTTCTTCGTGTTGTGAACGGCGCCCCCTGGGGTTGTGCGAGGGCACAGCACCACGTTCGCTCACACCCCCGTGGCCGGGACTCGGCCACTGCGGCGCGCTTGGTGGCCAGGGAAGCTGGGGTGCATGACTGTGAGTCTCCGTTCCCGCTTCTCCGGGGGCGCTCCCAGACTGAGGAGGGGGACAGTCACGTTGACAAATAATTACACTGTAGTGTGACCACCTGCGGCCACGTGGAGAGTGGAGAGGGGCTTTCCCGGAGGAAGCGACAGTGAGCCGTGTCTTAGGGGATGCGTGGAGTCCACCTTCTGGAGAAGAGTGTTATCCGCCCGTCTGGGTGTGATGTTTCTGCGTGGGGGCAACAGGGACCGAGGACAAAGGGTACTGGGCCAGATTCCAGTCAGGGGACTGGACCGTGGGCCCATGCGCACTGCACCCCAGCTCCGAGGCCACCCTCAGTTTCCCACAGATTCAGAGTGTACCTCACACCTGCTTGCCTGGTGGGAAGGGAACAAAGGCAGCCCCGCTCCTTCCGGGACGAGATGGGCCACTAGTCGACCCAGCCCCCTTCCGTGGGGGACATCCGTAGTCTCCGCCCCCGCCCAGCGCCCAGCACTACAGAGCCGGGGGACCAGTTCAGGTGGGCAAACAGGGCCCCAGTGGAGATCTGCACACTGTGACAACGAACTTGGCTCTTGATGAACTTGGCTTCCTGATAAATAAGGGGGACATGTTGCTTTTATCATAAAAAAGCATATATACTTCAGCCCCCCAAATAAACATAAGACAACCTTTTTTCCATTTTTCTAGTGTGAAATGAAATATGAATTTGCCATTTAGGCCTATCTTCCTAACTGCTTTTTACTAACAATAGTGGCCTAAACAAAGTAGGGATTTATTCTCTCAAATTAAAGAGAGAAATTAGAGATTTAGTCTCTGAAATTAAAGAGGTCAATTAAAGAAGCCTAGAGCTGGACAGTCCGGGGTTGGTACAGTACCTCCGTTTTGTCATCAAGGGCTCAAGGCTCTTTCTGTCTTTCTGCCACGTCACCCTTGGGCTGTTATCCTCAAAGCCCAAAATGGATGCAGGTGCTCCAGCCACCACACCTATGTTTCAGTCAGAAAGAAGAAGAAAAGAAGGCAGTCAGAAAAATACTCCTCCTAACTAGTCAACCCCGTTTGAAGAGGTTTTCCAGAAATTCTACCCAGTAATTAATACTTCCATCTCACTGACCCACCTCTAGCTGAAAGGGTGTCTTAGCGGCACACACTGTCTCCCTGACAATCCAGGATTCTGATGCCAGGGTGGAAGGCGAGAGCAGATCTGAGCAGATCTCAGTCGGCAATCTGTTACGGTGAAGCTCTGGCTACTTGAAAAAGCTGTCTCTCAGATGACCAGCATCTCCCAACCGAGCTTCAGAATGGCTCCCGTGCCTCCCACATCGGAGACCTCCAGTCCGTCTGCCCGTCCCTTCCCCTCGCCGTGACACTCCATGGCCGCTCAGCGCAGGCCAGCCGCTCCCGAAGGCGCCCGATGGAGTAAACGAACAAATCCGTAGCGATGGGAGGTAGCATGGTAGTGTGGGATCGAGGGGGTGGCTCTGTCAAGGTGACTTGGCCTTTGTCACGTGGCTGCTGGCTTTAGAACCCAGTCTCTGGGTGGGAGGCAACTCCACGTTATTGGCCCCCACACTTGGCATCTGCACCCCGTGCGCACACACAGACACAGACACACGCACGTGCGCACACACACACACGCACACACAC